TCCCTTCTATATATTCTAAAAAGCTGGGACAATTGAAAAACTAGCAAAAAAAATCTAATAAAATGGAGTAGTCCTGGGATAACCAAATAAGCTTAAAGATAATTGGCACATAGAAAATTAAGTTTGTCCTTGAAAATGTCCCTGTTTCTGACAGATGATAACCTCAAAAAAGGTACTGTGGGTGGAGTTAACAAAGGCAAATGTTGATTAAAGTTTCTGGTATAAATATTGGTGCATTTTCCCTGCAAAAAATTACCAAATGTTACACGACAAAGTATACCCTGTTTCCCCGATAATAAGACCTACCCCGAAATTAAGACCTAGTACCATTTTTGGGAATTGCTAAAATATAAGACCTACCCTGAAAATAAGACCTAGTTGTGACCATTCCCATGGCCGCTAAGGCATAAGGGGGAACTTGAATAGCCGCAGGAGAGAATCAGCGGTGCCAACAAAGCCAGCGCTAGAGGAAGCAAGGCGGCAGCGCAGGGAGCACACCCGCATAAGCCGATGTTTCCTCTATAACGCCGGCTCCTGCCACAGGCGGAGTGATACCAAATGCACTCTGCCTGTGAGGAATCTAGAGTAAAAGTGTGCTTCGCTCATTCTGGTTACCAAATTGCTCTTGGAAAGGTATGGCACCCCTGATTGCCCTGATCACCCTATTCTTAACTTTGCCATTTTGGATTATTTTATTTGGATTTACATTAACTTTGGATTGTTATACATTAAAAACAAAAATAAGACCTACCCCGAAAATAAGACCTAGTGTGTTTTTTTGAGCCAAAAAAAAATATAAGACAGTGTCTTATTTTCGGGGAAACACGGGTATGTGGTGTTGCATCAGGTGCACCAAATCACGTTCAAAGTGCTATGTAACAATTTCTATAAAATATCTGATTGTGTGTGACAAATGAATGACACACTTGTGCCAATGTTCTAATTTAAAAACAGTAAAAAAAAAAAAAAACACCATTACCAGAGTGTTGTACATATTGAAGTGAGAAAAGGTAACAGTGGCAATCAGGAATGCAGAAAGGAAAGGAGAGTGGCACGTGTATGGAAGGCCAGTGAGGTGCAGCAATGTAAGAAGAAGAGGAGAAGCAGAAAATGTAGGATGATCCCAGGAGAAGATTGTCTCAGATTTAAGAAATCTTAAACAACATGCAACTAAAATAATGAATTAGTGTGCTCCACTTTTATGAATGTGTCACAGGAAGCAATAAGAGGCCATATAGAAACTGGTACCTTTTTTGAGCAGCAGCAGTATGTTTAAATGAAAAAAAGGTTGTTTGGTCTAGTATGGCATGAGAAACAACCATGTGTTGAAGTGTAGATGTCACTGGGGTATAGGTACCCGAGGTACTAGAGCCATATAGGTACTATAGGAAGTATGTTGGAGTGCAGGTCTCACAGGTGCTTTAGATAATAGGGACTGATGGGGGGCTGGGGGCACATTGAAAAAGTCTATCTATGTATCTATCTATATTATCTATCTGTGCTATCTATACTTCACTTATCTTTTGTAATGAATTTCCATTGTGCACATGAAATCAGTGACCTGTGAAAATATAATGTATAGTGGATCTCTCTGCATTGACTATGACATATCTAATACACAGGTTGCTAATCTCTAATTCTGGTTTACCTGGAATGGTGGTTCTCCGTCAAAACCTGAAAATGAGGATGAGGCACCTCCTCCAGAACCCCTGCAAAAGGGAGAATTCATGTTCATTTAGATCTGTTTTCAATACTACTATGAACCGTCTATCTACTCCATTTAGATTTATTTTAATCTGCTGATGCACACCAACCAAGTTCAGCTGTCCACCATCTTCTCCAGTCATCATATTTTATATTTATACTCACTTGTTTCAATTTATTAAATGTCCAGCAACATCTTGCAAACAACAGTAAAAGTAAAGCGCTGGAAAATAAGGTCTGCATATTCTGCCAAAAGGATTATCACACAGTTTATAATAACTCTGAGCCCAAAATAGTAAGATTTCAAAGATTTCATTTAATAAAACTGTGTAACATTTTCGAATACAAACAGCTTCAAATATCAGCAAATATTCTAACAATATCCCGCAATATAAATAATCCAAGACATTCATTTCAAATATATGGTTATGACAGCCATGTTTTGGTCTGGAATAACTTGGCTTAGCATGAGTATAACTGGAAAACATACACATTTTTATAGGGGTCACTGCAGACTAAAATACATATAAACTCTAACTGATTGACACGTGACAAACATTTTCATAAAATACTTGTATTCATTCACTTTTCTATGTTTTGTTATGTATCAGCACTGTGGGTTGGGGGAGTTGTTAAAAAAAAAAAAAACTTGCATCCTCAGGACTCCAAACCTATAGTTGTTCCAGGAAAAAAAATGAAAAACGGAATATTCTTATAAAGCATGGTCCAATTTGCTCTAATGGGTAAAAACCTTCCTTCTAGAACCCCGGCCTAAGCAATCACATAATCCCTGATAAAATCTACAGTGCCATGGCTTAGAAGTATTAATAGTTATATTTTATTATATTTTAAGCAATCTACATAGTTGGGTAGAACTGGCTTCTGTGGAAGTTTATTTCACATCCTTACTGTAAATAAGCCTTTCTCTAGGCGGAGGTAAAAAACCCTTTTCCTCCAGGTACAAACAGTACCCCAGTTTATTAAAAGCTGCATACGCCATCTTCTGCTGGATCTTTACAGTCGCACTGCAAAGGTAAGTATTTTTACACAAGTGACTTCCATCATGGACCTTCACCCAAACTGGAGTCCTCATTTAGTCCCAATCCGCACCCGTGTAGCTTGTGAATGTGCCCAAAATCCCTTGATTTTGCGCGTGTTCATGAAACATTCCAAAAATGGGTGTCACTTGCAGTGCCATTTATTGTTAATGGCACCCCAAATGCACCAAGCAAGACCCGTGTTTTGTGTGCCGATATTGTTGCATGTAAGGCAGCCCACTGAAATGATATGGCTGCCCATTATGTGCGACAAACGTGCATAAACATGACGCACAATGTCATGCTACACAAGTGCGAATGGGGGCTTAAAGCAGGGCTTGACAAATTTGCTTTGAATTAAGGAAAAAAAATTGCTTTGAATCTAGGAGCCAGCAAAAAAGGTAAGGAGCCAGGTTTGTTTTTTGTTTTTTTAACTAACAAAGTTTTATTTTCCATGACAGTTGTAATTTTCCACTTCCAACGGTGCACCTGACTCTCCGAGAGTATGCACCCTTTTGCGGGAGACTTTTAATTATTTTTTTGGGTTATTTTTAATTTTATTCTATTTAACTTTTTTTTTTAAACTTTGTTTTACTTCATTGCCATCACATGGGGGGCTCACAAGCCCCCTATGTGATAGCACATTGATATGACAAGCTATCTTTAAGGTGGCATTAGGAGTCTATTAGACCCATAGTGTCATCTTTCCTCTTCAATAGCTTTAGGTGGGGAAGCCTGCTGTAGGCTATTTCAAATTACAATAGCCAATAGAAGGCTGGCTATTGCATCCGCCCACAGCATGAACGTCAGGAGAACGTTCTCCTTCAGATCCGCTCTTTTGGTGACTAACAGCAGGCAGTGGGCGCATACAATAGCCAGCCTGCTATTGGCTACTGCATTATTGATTAGTTGGTTGGATCCCCTAGCTCTCTCCTCCACACCAAGCGGAGGGCACAACAAGCAGTGGCGGGGGGATGGTGCAATAGCCAGCCTGCTATTGCAATTTGAAATGGCCAATAGCAGGCTGGCTATTGCACCAGCCCACTACCTGCTGTATTTACACATTCAGCTGCTGTCTGCAGAATATTTCTACTGGCAGCTGTCATTCCCTGGCTGAAGCTATTCAAGCGCCATGTGCTTACAATACAATTGTTAAAAAAAAAATTAAAATTACAAAAAGGTGGGTAAAAAGTCATTTTCGGTTTTGGCCTGACAAATTCTGCTGCGGAAGGTGCGTTGCAGTGGCAATTATTTAAATGGCACCCCAAGACGCGCCTCCCACCCACAGTGTGATTGCCCGCACTGACACGAGATACCACGATGCCATGCGTTCCAGTGCAGTGCGAGTGCAAAAAATTGTGCATGCAGTTTTATTCTGAAGTAAACTTTATGGTTGTAACACTGCATTTGTGCATTTTATTTCAAATTAACGATGGTATTTGTTTTTATCCGGTTAATCTAAAAAAAATTAATCGGCCAACTAATTAATTATGAAAATAATCATTAGTTGCAGCCCTAGCAACCTGGTGCCTGGGGTTTGTCGAACCTTGGCTTAAAGTATATAAAAAAAACAAATATTGTTTTAGTTGTTACAGAATGTGGAAGGGTCAGACCCTCTTATTTGTCCTGTTGACCACTGTCTTGTTGCATCAAGTTTTTGGAAACCCAATATTTTAGAGTTGTCACTGGATAGAGGGAGAGAGGCAATCTTCAAAAGTGGACACCAGTTATGGTGATAACTGTCTAAGTAGGGATTTCTCTTCGCTTTGTGGAGAATTTTTCTTACTTACTGCCGTGTCTCTGGAAGAGAGGGGTGAAGGGAAATCTCTGACAGGAAACCAACAGCAAAAAAAAACAAAAAACCTGGCAGGGGTCTGTACTATTTCTTTACCCAAAGCAGTACAGGGAGAGGAGAGGGAAAGTAGGTATAAGCGGGGGGTAGGCAATTAAGTGAATACAGCTACACTTTAAGATCTAAAAATAATTAGTTATCACACATTAGCGGACTGAAAAGTTAAATTCAGTTTTACCTTGTTCATCTATGGAGATGTTGCGAATAATGACTGGAGTGGAGTATGCTGGAAGCAGCAGAGGCAGGTTAGATGGTACAGCATACCCACATGGCACAGGAACGGAATAACCACTTGGCACTCGAGGACTTGTATTGCCATCTACGGACTCAGGCTCTTGAGATGTAGCAGATTCACCTTCTTGAAAGGGTGCAATGTCAATCACAGAGTAAGGGTTCACCTTTCTCGGTAGTGTGCTCAGATCATTTTCTATTGACAAATCTTGACGTAAAACATCTTCATCTGCCTGATCTAATTCTATAGCAAGAAAAAAAAAAGGAAGAAGATAAATTTAAGTTTACTCATGGAACACTGGGCTACCTTAAGCAAACATTTCCATGTAAACTCCACAAAAAAAGTGTTTATTATAGCTATAGCTTGCAGCATTTTGATCGCACCGGACCAGACTGCAGGCACAATGTGCCTTGCGATCCCGTGCGGACAATCGCATAGCGGCCGGAGGGCATGGCTATGGTGCCATTCACTTCAATGGCCCCCTCCTGCCGGCAAAAAAGTGAGCCGGCCGCAATGTGATGCAGTGCGTTCTGGCCAGAATCGGATCGCACTGCATCTGGTCTGAACCCAGACTAAAAGCTCCAGTTAATTTGCTACTTGTTATAATAGTTTGGGGTGTGTCAAGTGTCTGGACAACACAAAGGTCAGGCAGAGGCCACACATATAAGAAGAGGCAGAGAAAAGTATCTTACAAATCAACATATTTTACAGAGAGACAGTAGTTCTAATAGTGTGAAACCTTTTATTTTCTAAAGAGTAATATGAAACTGACTTACCCGGAGGATCTGGGAGTTCATCATCCAGGTCAATTAGATCACCCCCAGCCATTTGAAGGGGTTGTCTATCAGCTTCTGGAGCATCATCTCCACTATCAAACTCAAATTTTTCTCCCTCGTCTTCTTCCTCATCTTCTGCAGCAAACGTATGATTTTTTAACTCATTTTCTAAAACTATGAATAAAAAATTGAAAAAACAAAACAAAAACATAAAATCAAACAAAGGCTGAGAAAGAAATGCAACAGACGACTATAGAAAAGCAAGGATTTGAAAATTTGATAGGAATGAATGTAGGTGCACCATTACAAGCATCCATCGGTGCCTCAAACTAAAGTGATACCAATGGGTATACAGTAGGCTGTTCACAATCCAAAACACACAATAAGGGGTCTACTTATAAACAAAAATTCACAGAGCCATTTGCACTGTGAACGTTCATTCTGTGTGAAGAAATGCAAAAACAAACGTTCGTAGTATATTTTCTTTTCAGGTCGAATGCAACATTCGGTAAATACTTCACCATGGTCACTACCGTAGATGGAGCAGGGAGCATAAATATGTATTTCCTATGCTCCTCACTTCCATCTTCTGACCAAAATGCAGGATTTACCTGATATTACATATGATCTACAAAGAAAAAATACTGAGAATGTTTGTTTTTGACTATTCACACAAATCAACTTTCACAGAGATTGGCAGGGTGAATGGGTCTGCAAAACTGTTTATAAATGGGCCCCAAAGTTAAAAACAGAGAAATAACTCTAATGATTCATTCATTATATAAATGCATAGGATTTTTGTAGTCAGAGCCCACAAGGACTTCAGCATCAAAATACATACTCCCGCATACATTTGGAGCCCATTTCTAATCTCACCTAGAAGCACGTAATACTTTTCTATTGCTGAACATACACTAGACGTTCAACAGCATCTAGAAGCATTCAGTCTAGCTACATGTACATGAAGAAATACGCACGTCCAAGAACCGCTTAGCCTGGTTTTCATGCAACTAAATGCATGTAAAGATGTGGAAACGCGAGTATGATTAAAAACAGGAGGAATGATCTGGGAAGTGTAAGGACTCATGCACACGGTCCCCTATGATTGGCACAGAAAAGATTGATCTGGGAAGTATAAGCAAACATACTTCCCAAATCCATTTCTTCTGCGTTTAAATATACTTGCAATTACACGCATTTACATGCAATTCGCTGCATAAAACCAGACTAAACAGGTCCTAAATGCATATATTCCTTAATTATGTAAACACAGCTAGACTGAAGGCACCTAGATGTTGCAGAACATCTAGTGTGCATTCAGCCACATAAATTGCATGCTTACAGTTGTGTTTAGAAATTAGCTCCATTTTTAGGGATTAAAAATTATTTGACAGGGAGACTCTTAACCATCACTCTAGATCAGGGATGATCCCGTGGTGGATCTATCTCCAAATTAGGCATTTCCTGTCTCAACCTTATAGGCAATTTTGCTAGGCCACTTACTCCTCTTGAAAGAGCTTGTGATGGGGATAGCCCCTCAGGACATTTGATCTCATGCTTCTATTCCCAACTTGAGAATATCAACTCCGAGTGTATACGTAACCTATGCAGCAAATGGGAAAGAGACCTGGGTAGGCCTATTTCTGACGATATGTGGCACAACATATGTCTTAGCGCCCATAATAATTCTGTCAGTAGTCGCACACAAGAGACTAATTATAACATTCTGGTACAGGACCCCTTTGATGATCCATAGAATGTACCCTGACACACCGAGCCAGGGCGTTGCCAAAAAGAGGTGGGATCTTTCACCCATATCTTTTGGACCGGTTCATTACTTACACCCTATTGGACTCGGGTCCATTCTATTACCTCAAGTTAGGGGGATCCGAGTGTTGTCCTCCCTCGGAAAGTTCCTTCTGCTTTGTGCAGAAGATCCATCATCATGTTCTCCTAAATCTTTACAGAGACATATGATAAATGCTGCTAGAGCAATTATACCTAGACTTTGGAAAGACCCTTGCACCCCTTCCTTGTCTGAATCGATCAAACAAAAAAATAATATCTATGAAAAAGAGGAACTGATGTTTGCCAAACGAGACGCATTAGACAGATTTTCCCGTATTTGGGAATGCTGGGATCATTTAATTACGGCTCCCACATATGCCTCCCTCAAATCCAGCACTATTGACAGGGTTTAGGTCTTAAAATCTCCTTGCTTGGAACTTTGTCCCTTTGGGCTTGAGAGCTCCCTACTTGGAACTTTGACCCCATCAGGTGATGATCATGGTTAAGGGAGGTTGTTTGGTTGCCGGGGGGACCTCGTAGAACGTCTAATCTTCTTTTCGTTCTCATTTCCATACTTGCATTTTTTTTTTCCCCAATACTTTCTCCTGCCCTTCTCTTTTTTCCAGTTGCTCTTGCTAGCGTTCTTCTAGACATATAGGAATAAGCTCGATACTAACCACACTAGACGCTTCATGGGTGAGACAAATGATATTATTCGTAGTGGTCTGATTTTAATGATTTTTGTGTTCCAGCATTATTGACCTCTAGCTCTAGGGGATTGTAGTATATATGGAGCTTTTTCCCAACTCTGTTTGATACAACTCCTAATTTAATTTCTGTTCTAAACCTTCCTAATGTAATGTATGACGTTGAATTCTATTTTTTCCAATTGTATTTTGTTTTTATTTGTTTACTTTTCCACTTTTTTTTATACTTTAAAATGCTTCTTTGTAAAACCTAATAAAAACTCCTAAAAAATAAAAAATAAATAGCTCCAAACATATCTAGATGCACGCATTTTGATGCCCATGTGCAAGTGTTTATACTTCCCAGTTCAATTTCTCATGTTAAACGTAGAAGGGCCATCGGCATGAGACCTTACATGTTTGGTACCTCACGCTTCTATTTTCCAGCAATAGAAGAAGAAATGGCATTCATTATAATAGCTGGTCTGTAACTTGTTCTCTTACATGTGGAAGCTCGGCTAAGCGGGACATGCAGCATTTCTGTGCATTAGCACACATTAGGCAGGCGCCCTCAAAGAAAATGTTTAGCAGTAAAAAAATATGTGCCATGCATGTTTGTGAGTTTTAAGGAAATCTGCACTATGGAAAAATGATATCCTTGAATATTTCTCCCACATCGTGTATAATTTACAAAACAAAAAACACACAAAGACCTGCATTAAAAATAGTCACGAGGATTCGCGTCACCTCACAAGAAACTAAATGCAGCAATGTGTGTCATAAACATCAGAAAGTCAGGACCAGTGCTCAGGGGACAAGCTGATTCTGCAGGAAACTAAAACTTTTAAACATCAAGGAACATACATTAATTGCAAGTGATTTCATCAGCATTTAAAAATGGCTTAAAATCCTTTTAAATTTAATATCACTTTACCATTACCTATTTGTGTTGTTTGAGCTCATGCACACGGGTGCAAAAGACACCATTTTCAGATCAGTTTTTTTCTTTTTTAATAAGGAGAGTCAGTCTCTCTCTCTCTCTCTCTCTCTCTCTCTCTCCATAGATGTAAGTGTACGCTCCATTAAATGTGCTTTTGTCAACTTGTGGTAGCAAGGTGCAGCGTGAATACAAGTATTCTCAATACGTCAGTGTACATGAACCCTTATAATCTTTCATCTTGAATTTTGTTTATCTTTGTAAAGGGTCCTGCACATGCACAGCGTAACAAAATAATTTATAATTAGATATGTTATATGTGTGCAAGTGACCCACATTGTTCACAAACTGCTCTGACAATGAACAGACACACAGTCATTTGTAACCATCTCATGACCCTGAGAACGGAGTTGCAACTTAAAGCCACATTACGGGCAAAAAGATCATTTACACACCGCTCTGGGTGTGCAAATTATTATTAAATGTCGTGGCAAATTGTGAATTTAGCAAATTTGCACTGTGTGCATGTTAACATATGACACGGTACTTGTGCCTACAAATTATGCTTTATTTACTGTGACACAAGCGAGAGTCTAAGAGACATGAACAACCTCAGCACAATCATTTCTAAAGAATGAAAATCTTCCATTACATACTTTATTCTTTTCTGCACACAGCCTACCTTGAAGGAAAAAAAACTTCATCAATATAGTCAGTGACTACTTACCAACTAGCAACTGTTGTACAATATAGCATAAAGAGTGCAGGGATCATGAATATGTCCTATGCAGCCCAAAGTGCAATCTGCACAATGCGTATTGGAAAATTGCACAGGGTCAGAGTGCGTACTGCACATTGTACTGGATTTGCCCTGCACACTGGATTGTAGTGCACTCTGAAAAAAAAAAGTACACTGGATTGCAGTGCACACAGGAAAATCACACTGGCTCACACTAGGGATGTCTTGATACCATACTAGTATCGGTGCTGATGCAATCCATTTTCAAGAGTACTTGGAAAAAGTGCAACAGATTCCTCCATCTACTGTACACTAAACTGTGTGGCTGGAGGAATCCCCCGCTTGGATAAGCTTCAGAATCTTGCAAGTCGGCCCTGCTGACTGTCAAATTTCCGGAAAAATCTGATTGGATGCAGGCGTTGTTCAGGTGTTTTGACAGCCAGCTGGGCCGACTAGCAAGGCACTGAAGCTTGGCCCAGCGAGAGATTCCTCTATCCAAACAGTTTAGCGTAGATGGAGGAATCTGTTGTACTTTTTCCATCTGACCATAGAAAATCTGCATAAAATCTATAGGTGTATGGTCAGCTTAAAGTGACATTAAAGGATAACAGTTTTTTCCCTCCCCCTCTCCGATCCAGCGCTGACTCCTCTTTCCTTGCTGGCACTTCCTGTCCCACGGTGCCTGAATGCGGGTCCACGCTGTCCATAGACTTACCTTGCGTCTTTCCTCGTCTCCTGGCCGAAAATCTGAACTGCGCATGCGCCCATCCCAAGATCTTTTGCGGCCGCCCGAGATTTTTCGGACGGGAGCGCACGGGGAAGACACAGGTAAGTATTAACCCTTTTCAAAGCTTTTTTTAAAAATAGTTTTTGCACAAGCAGTAGATATATGCAAAAAAATGGAGGCTTTAATAACCCTTTAAGTGACCTGACATTTGATGGAAGTTGATCTACTTGGCTATATGTTCTGATCAAGTTTCTTCTATGGAAGTGCAATTTATTGATATTCAGGAAAGTTTTATCT